TTCCCTTTCCATTCCTTTCCACAGTTTTGGACATCCAGTGATCTGTTCTGCCGTTGGCGCGTGGCCCAAAGTTGCTTCAATGAAGCGCCGGCGTTTGCTATATAAGCAGCCTCTTCCTGCCGCGCCGTCGAGTGATGAGCTTGGGCAGGTGAGAACGCTTGTGAGAGACAAGTGGGTTGCCTCCTACCTTGCCGAGCATGGACGTGGGGGTCAGGATGCACGTGCTGCGGCCAAACGAGAGTTCACCTCAGCCGCCAACAAGCGTCAGATGCTGAGTTCCATGCTGGAGTCTGGGCAGGTACCACCCCGGCTTCATGCAGCAGCCACCCGTCTAATCATGGCTTGGACATCTGAGACGCCCCTCCGTGGCCCACATGAGGTGGAGGAGGATGTCATGAGTTCGTACCGTGGCAGTGGGACTATGTTTCGGTATTCAGGGTCGTGGAGCCGTGTGGACGATGCCGCAATGTCGGCGGTGCTGGTTGCGAAGGGTCACAATGGCATTTCTGAGGTATGCAGTCGCCTCAAGTGTCACCCCTATGTGCAAGGATTGTGGGACGAGTTCTCGGCCTTCAGGCAGCAGCTGGTGTCAAGCACACCTATCACGCGCTGGACTGCAGCCATGGAGCTACATGTGGAAGCTTCGCTTGCGGCCAACCCTCCCATTCCATCGGTACACATACATTTTATGTTTGATGCCATTGGCAAGACCATCTCATTTCGAAATGAGCCTGGATTGACGTTTCGCAACTCGCAGCCGTACAGGTCGCTTGCAGCACCAGTCGCCCGCGGACGGGCTTGCAAACGAGCCTATGATCAGGGGCACTTTTACTCGACTCCGCTCAAGACAGGTGCCATACTCCATGCCACAAATGCACCACCGTTCAAGTCCTATGCAGTGTCTCCAGAATGGATCACAAGCATGTGGCAAGGGGATAAATTGTCTCCGGAATCGGCCAAGGAACTCTATCTCAAGAGCAAAAAGCACGTCAAACAGTATTGTGACAATGTCACATCACAGGTCCAGATGACCCAGCAGAGCAACTTGCAGGAACGCCAGGCTGCAGCACAGGCAGCCTTGCTCCGCATGCATCGTCCTCGGGTGTATCTGGAACCAGTGGAACAAGAGTTCTTGCCTCAATTCCAGGTGGATGCTTTCAGACGACGCTTCTTGGTGCTGGACGGACCCACGAAGCTCGGCAAGACGACCTCCAGCCTTGCAGGACCCGAACACACTCTGGAGTTGAATTGTGCATCGTCCATGGAACCCAATTTGCGGGACTTCAACAATGATGTTCATCGCGCGATCGTGTTTGATGAGGCATCTTGTGCCATGGTTCTCCGGCACAAGAAGCTTTTCCAGGGTGGTGTGCAACCACTGGAACTGGCCAGCTCCAACACGAATTGCTACTCTTACAAGGTTTGGGTCTATGGCACGATGATGATCGACAAGCAACACCTGGACTGCAGAGTTGCATGAGCTGTCACCTGAGGACGCATCATGGCTGCGTTCCAATTCGGTGCACGTCTACTGCACACAGAAATTGTATTGCTAATGACTGCTAATGCATGAGTGACTATGGCGAAGAAAGGGCCACGTCTGCTGCTGTCACTTTGGTGCAAGGCTTCCAAGACCACGTCAGATTTTCTCACTCTGGGGCCAGTGCCGAGGCAGAGAGTTTCAAGCTAGGACGTCTGCTGTTTTCAGTTTGGGGTGACAGTGCCTCCCAAGATGACGTTGGGTTTCCGACGAAGGTGTTGAAAGTGCCAACGTCTGCTGTTGTCACTTCGGCTGTTGTCACTTCGGTGCAAGGCTTCCAAGACCACGTCAGATTTTCTCACTTTGGCGGGCAGTGCCTCCAAAAAAGGCTTCCAGCCCTCCAGCCTCCAGCCTTCCAGCCTTCCAGCTCTGCAGGTCTCCAGCCCTCCAGCTTTTTAGGGCAGAGAAGCAGAGGGAGGGGCTGGAAAGGGTTGGGGGCTGGAGAAGGCTGGAAGGCTGGAGGGCTGAGGGGTGGAAGGCTGGAACTGGAGCGCTGGAAGGTGGAGGCTGGAGGGAAGGCTGGAGGGTTGGAGGAGGGCTGGAAGGCTGGACTCCAGCCTCCAGCCCTCCCTCCAACCTTCCAGCCCTCCAGCCTTCCAGCCTGGCTGAGGGGTGGAAGGCTGGAGTGCGGGAGGGGAGGGAGGGAGGGAGGGAGGGAGTGAGGGAGGGAGGGAGGGAGTGAATGAGGGAGTGAGGGAGGGAGGGAGGGAGCGAATCAGGGAATGAGGGAGTCAGGGAATGAATGAGTGGTTGAGACGTTGATGCCGTCCGTATCTGCCGTATCGTGTTTCGCTAGTGGTTTCCATGATGTTCCATGCAAAAAATGCAATATTTGTCAAGAAAGTGAGAGTTCGCGGGGCCACCAGCGACGGGCAGAGTTCGAAAAAGCTGGTCTATGAAGTGTTTGACACGTTCAGTCCGTCCGTATTTGCCGTGTCGTTGTCCGCTAGTGCTTTCCATGCAAAAAAGGCAAGATTGTCAAGAAACTGAGAGTGGCGCAGCCACCAGGGACAGTGCAGAGTTCGAAAAAAATGGTGTATGAAGTGTTTGACACATTCAGACCGTCCGCATCTGCCGTGTTGTATTTCGCTAGTGGTTTCCATGATTTTCCGTGCAAAATGCAATATTGTCTAGAAATTGAGAGTTCGCGCAGCAACCAGCCGCAGTGCAGAGTTCGAAAAAAATGGTGTGTGAAGTGTTTGACACGTTGAGGCCGTCCGTATCTGCCGTGTTGTATTTCGCTAGTGCTTTCCATGCAAAAAAGGCAACATTGTCTAAAAATTGAGAGTTAGCGCAGCCACCAGCCGCAGTGCAGAGTTCGAAAAAAATGGTGTATCAAGTGTTTGACACGTTCAGGTTGTGAGTATCTTCTGGGGGAGCGCGGGAGGGAGGGAGGGAAGGAGGGAAGGAGGAGGAAAGGAGGGAACAGGGAGGGAGGGAAGGGAGGGAGGGAGGGAGCGAGGGAGGGAGGGAGGGAGGGGCGGGAAAGAGAGAGAGAGAGAGAGAGAGAGAATTACTGAAAGTGACAGTGAGAGCGAGAGTGAGAGTCAGAGTGCGAGTGCGAGTGCGGGAGAGAGTGAGGGTGAGAGTGAGTGTGCGCGTGAGTGTGAGCGAGAGGGAGAGAGAGTGCCCAGGTGATGGCGGGGTCGTCAAAGTCAGAGGCAGCCGCTTTTGAAGTGTAGTGCTCGTGACCGCTGCGGAGTCGTCAAAGTCAGAGGCAGCCGCTTTTGAAGTGTAGTGCTCGTGACCGCTGATCCTGTTTGTTTCCTGTTGGTCGAACCCACACCTCCGGGGGGCGGGGCAGTGTGTCTTGCTGGCGCAGGGCTTGGGACCGCTTTATGGGGCTTGATTCCCACAGCAAGTGCTAGGAGGCCAAGTCGTGCCTGTAGAGTAAAAGCCAGCGGTGTTCAGACAGGCTATGCGATTGATTGCTTGTGCTGCATCATGCAGTTTTCCACAGCCACTAGCTGCTACTCGACATCCGTTTTCTCAGAGCAGAGGCGGTTTTGCGTTTGAAACATGGCTGCCGCAAATCCAGCAGTGGAGCTGCAGCGGATCCGCCAGGAGGTTTCTTTTGGTAGGTAGGACGACATAGAAAGGGAGCAGTTGTGCATTGTTGCTACTTTCTGTCGTGTGATTTCCTTTGGAAGGTTGCATGTCTTCGAAGAAAGATTTCTTCGTTGTCACGGACGAGAAGAGCCGAGAAGCAGCGGGAAGCCAACATGGGTTTGAATCCCCGTCAAGTGTTTGTCTTATTGGCGATTTATGTACTTACTGGTGACCCAGCGGTGGCTCTCGAGTATATCAGCGCGAAGGCTGCGCGTGAAAGGATGGAAGAGGCAGACGCAGAAGACAAGAAACGCTATGTAGAAGAGCTGTACCTCAAAACAAGCTTGGAAGACATAGCATCGCTGCAGGATCCTTCTGGTTCGCGGCAGGGCATTTACAAGACTGCACAGCGTTGGATTGCCAGACGAAGAACCAGAAACTGCGTGTGCAATATGAATGCGATTGGCGTGGCTCCAAGTTCAGAGCAAGTTGCAGAAGAATATCGCAAACAAAGTGCGTCCTCTGTACCAACTACCGATGCCCGTGGATTACGAGCCTGGAGCAGTCGCTTCCGTCGCAGTTTTGCCTTCCGGCTGGGCAAGATGAAAGCGGCCAAGCCAGTGGAAGATGTTTGTGCAAAGGCCGGGTGCTGGGTTCTCGAGACTTCCTGCACGCATAACACCGCATGCTTATGGTAGCTGCTTGCAGTGGATCGTTCTGCACTTATCTGCGTTTCGATACCTCCTAACCAGCGGCAGCATTTGGACCCGAGGATTGAGGGGCCGCATCGCTTTCGACTCCATGCGGGGATGCTTTTTGAGCTCATTTTTGGACCCTCTTTTTGGAGCTGCTTTCTAAGGCTAACTCGTGGAAGCACTTACAACCCCAAAACGAGGCTCCAAAATTAGGCCTCGTTCTGGCTCCAGTTTTGGGGCCCAATTTGGGTTCAATTTCGGTAAGCCATTTCTCGTTGCCTGCAGGCCGTGCTCTTCTTGCGCCACGCTGCTTGGTTGGAACGCTCCAGCGCGAAGCAGCCAGTCTACATCAATATAGATGAAACGGCTTTAGCCTATTCGTTCCATGCTGCGCCTGGCCTGATACAGCGGAAATTCCACGCAGAGGTTCAAATTACACCTCAAGACGCACGTGGGTGCATCACCCACGTCGCTCTCGTCTCAAATGTCCTCAGTGTGCAAGCGCATTTGCCACAGATTTTAATATGTAACAAGAGTCGTCTCAGCAGAACCCTGGAGCAACAATTGCAAAGCGTTGTTCCCTCCACCGTGACTCTCTGTCGTGAGGATTCCTCATGGAATTCAGCACGACATATGGTCTCCTTGCTAACTCTCTTGGGTCAGCTCTTTCGCATCCGCGTCCCGCAATATCAGGCCATTGTTGTCTTCGACGCGGCCTCGTGCCATCTTTCTCCGGGCGTCATAAGAGAAGGACGCCTCCAGGGGTTATTCATGCTGCCGGTGCCCCCAGGCATGACGTCCTACCTGCAGCCTTTAGATTTATGGTGTTTTGGACCATATAAGAAATGGTTGGAGCGCGAAAACCGCCAGCAGCGAATTTGCCAAAATGGGCTCGTGTCTCTAGAGACTTGGTTTAGAACAATTTTCAAAGCGTGTACAGACTACTGGACGAATCGTCCCTTTTGGAAGGCCTTTGCACAGGCAGGCCTTCCCACATCCGAGCAAAGGTTGCATGGCAAGCTTGCCTCGCTGTTCCCGGAGGGAATTCCCTGTCTGGAGCAAGCTTTGTCTCCAGATGAATTTGCACAGTTGTTGCCTAAAAGGCACGACTTGACCCGGACTTTTTCTGACTGGGTGGGCGGTCCCCGGCGAGAGGTGCCGGTGCTTTCCTAAACATCTTGAAGCATGCAGAGAAGACGTGCTGCCGCAAAAAATTGCAACTGTAAAAGCCAGCGGTGTTCAGACAGGCTATGCGATTGATTGCTTGTGCTGCATCATGCAGTTTTCCACAGCCACTAGCTGCTACTCGACATCCGTTTTCTCAGAGCAGAGGCGGTTTTGCGTTTGAAACATGGCTGCCGCAAATCCAGCAGTGGAGCTGCAGCGGATCCGCCAGGAGGTTTCTTTTGGTAGGTAGGACGACATAGAAAGGGAGCAGTTGTGCATTGTTGCTACTTTCTGTCGTGTGATTTCCTTTGGAAGGTTGCATGTCTTCGAAGAAAGATTTCTTCGTTGTCACGGACGAGAAGAGCCGAGAAGCAGCGGGAAGCCAACATGGGTTTGAATCCCCGTCAAGTGTTTGTCTTATTGGCGATTTATGTACTTACTGGTGACCCAGCGGTGGCTCTCGAGTATATCAGCGCGAAGGCTGCGCGTGAAAGGATGGAAGAGGCAGACGCAGAAGACAAGAAACGCTATGTAGAAGAGCTGTACCTCAAAACAAGCTTGGAAGACATAGCATCGCTGCAGGATCCTTCTGGTTCGCGGCAGGGCATTTACAAGACTGCACAGCGTTGGATTGCCAGACGAAGAACCAGAAACTTCGTGTGCAATATGAATGCGATTGGCGTGGCTCCAAGTTCAGAGCAAGTTGCAGAAGAATATCGCAAACAAAGTGCGTCCTCTGTACCAACTACCGATGCCCGTGGATTACGAGCCTGGAGCAGTCGCTTCCGTCGCAGTTTTGCCTTCCGGCTGGGCAAGATGAAAGCGGCCAAGCCAGTGGAAGATGTTTGTGCAAAGGCCGGGTGCTGGGTTCTCGAGACTTCCTGCACGCGTAACACCGCATGCTTATGGTAGCTGCTTGCAGTGGATCGTTCTGCACTTATCTGCGTTTCGATACCTCCTAACCAGCGGCAGCATTTGGACCCGAGGATTGAGGGGCCGCATCGCTTTCGACTCCATGCGGGGATGCTTTTTGAGCTCATTTTTGGACCCTCTTTTTGGAGCTGCTTTCTAAGGCTAACTCGTGGAAGCACTTACAACCCCAAAACGAGGCTCCAAAATGAGGCCTCGTTCTGGCTCCAGTTTTGGGGCCCAATTTGGGTTCAATTTCGGTAAGCCATTTCTCGTTGCCTGCAGGCCGTGCTCTTCTGGCGCCACGCTGCTTGGTTGGAACGCTCCAGCGCGAAGCAGCCAGTCTACATCAATATAGATGAAACGGCTTTAGCCTATTCGTTCCATGCTGCGCCTGGCCTGATACAGCGGAAATTCCACGCAGAGGTTCAAATTAGACCTCAAGACGCACGTGGGTGCATCACCCACGTCGCTCTCGTCTCAAATGTCCTCAGTGTGCAAGCGCATTTGCCACAGATTTTAATATGTAACAAGCGTCGTCTCAGCAGAACCCTGGAGCAACAATTGCAAAGCGTTGTTCCCTCCACCGTGACTCTCTGTCGTGAGGATTCCTCATGGAATTCAGCACGACATATGGTCTCCTTGCTAACTCTCTTGGGTCAGCTCTTTCGCATCCGCTTCCCGCAATATCAGGCCATTGTTGTCTTCGACGCGGCCTCGTGCCATCTTTCTCCGGGCGTCATAAGAGAAGGACGCCTCCAGGGGTTATTCATGCTGCCGGTGCCCCCAGGCATGACGTCCTACCTGCAGCCTTTAGATTTATGGTGTTTTGGACCATATAAGAAATGGTTGGAGCGCGAAAACCGCCAGCAGCGAATTTGCCAAAATGGGCTCGTGTCTCTAGAGACTTGGTTTAGAACAATTTTCAAAGCGTGTACAGACTACTGGACGAATCGTCCCTTTTGGAAGGCCTTTGCACAGGCAGGCCTTCCCACATCCGAGCAAAGGTTGCATGGCAAGCTTGCCTCGCTGTTCCCGGAGGGAATTCCCAGTCTGGAGCAAGCTTTGTCTCCAGATGAATTTGCACAGTTGTTGCCTAAAAGGCACGACTTGACCCGGACTTTTTCTGACTGGGTGGGCGGTCCCCGGCGAGAGGTGCCGGTGCTTTCCTAAACATCTTGAAGCATGCAGAGAAGACGTGCTGCCGCAAAAAATTGCAACTGTACAGGAACGACTTGTGCCCCTAGCGTATCAGCTGCTGCCAAGCACTCTGATTTTGGCTCCGGCCATCAAGCAGTTAATATGGCGCTTGCTGAGTTCTCTGCTTGGCTCCAGCAAACCCTGCCTTAAAACACCGTGCTGAAGGCATGGCAAACAACGAGGCAGGTCAACACTGTTTCACAGCACCCCTGCTGAAACAAAGCGCCCCGCCCGAGGCCGAGGTTGCGGGACCTGAGCTTCCACGAGAGCCCGACCGTGTGGAACTGCCCCAGGTAGCCATGCCAAAAAAGCATCCACAGGAGCAGCTGCTCACTCGTATCTACGCAGGAAACGCTGAACGAACGCCTTGCTGCCCTAAAAGCTGCCAGGGCAGCTGCGAAGGCTCACAGCATTGTGTGTCTTAGGAGGCTCAGGCCCTTTCTTGTACAGCCTTGTGTGCCTCTCCAGGTACAAGCCAAGCAGCTGAGCAAGGTGGTAAAGGCCGAAACAAAAAAGCTCAAAAAAGCGCGGGCGGTGGCACGAAAGCTGAGCGAGGCAGACTTGCTAGGGCTTCTTGTAGAAAAGAGGCAACCAGTTCTCTGAGAGTGGGAGCTGGAAGCTTCTAGAAACTGTTTTTTCGAAAGCTTTTCCCTCGTTTCTCACTCCCGCAGCTGATGCTCTTGATAATCTGCAGACTTCTTCTGAAGTCGACAAGTTTGTGCAGACTCCAAACTTTTCTTCTGCACTCTAAACGCCTGTGCTGTTGCTGCTTTCTGCAAGAGAAGCAGATGCAGCGACACGTGCCTTGAAAATATTGCTGCTTTGTTTTGCTGAAATGATGTCGGAGATTGTGGCAGTAGTCCTGTGAAGTTTTCATTCGCTCTTTTGCAAGTAACAAGTCGTAGCCGTGATGCCTTTGTCCTAACATGTTCAGACTTTTGGCAAGAACATTGTTAATGTGCTTTGGGGAAGACTGAAGACAGCAGTGCACGGCAGCATGAGCTCAACAATGGTGTGCTTTGTCTGCGATGGATCGGTCGTGACCTGAGATGCTAGCCTGTCTCTGCGTTGTTGCGGCCGTTCTTGCAAGCCCTGCTGTCCTATTTAGGAAAATATTGCATCGGATCAAGCTTTTGAGATTTCGGAAGATATTGCATCGGATCAAACTTTTGAGAAATAGGAAGTTATTGCTTCGGATCAACCTTTTGAGATGTGCTCTGGAGTACTGCTAGCGATGGTAGAGACAGCAGTGCAGTGCAGTACAGCGGCATCTGACGACTGAAGACAGTAGTGCAGTGCAGCAAATACTGCGCCGTTCTTGAGGTGTGATTTTTTTTGCGACGGATCAGTCGTGACCTGAGATCCAAGCCTCTTTCTGTGCTGTTGCTGCCGTTCTTGCAAGTAGCCGCGTCGTGCTGTCATATTTGGGAAGATATTGCATCGGATCAACCTTTTGAGATTTAGGACATAATTGCATCGGATCAAGCTTTTGAGATGTGCTCTGGAGTGCTGTAAACGATGGTAGGGACAGCAGTGCAGTGCAGCGCAGTGCAGTGCATCTGAAGACTGAAGACAGCAGCGCAGTGCAGCATCAGCTCAATGATGCGCCGTTCTTGAGGTGTGATTTTTTTTTGCCACGGATCAGTCGTGACCTGAGATCCAAGCCTCTCTCTGTGCTGTTGCGGCCGTTCTTGCAAGTAGCCGCGTCGTGCTGTCATATTTGGGAAGATATTGCATCGGATCAACCTTTTGAGATTTAGGACATAATTGCATCGGATCAAGCTTTTGAGATGTGCTCTGGAGTGCTGTAAACGATGGTAGGGACAGCAGTGCAGTGCAGCGCAGTGCAGTGCATCTGAAGACTGAAGACAGCAGCGCAGTGCAGCATCAGCTCAATGATGCGCCGTTCTTGAGGTGTGATTTTTTTTTGCGACGGATCAGTCGTGACCTGAGATCCAAGCCTCTCTCTGTGCTGTTGCGGCCGTTCTTGCAAGTAGCCGCGTCGTGCTGTCATATTTGGGAAGATATTGCATCGGATCAACCTTTTGAGATTTAGGACATAATTGCAACCTTTTGAGTTGCTAACGCGGTAAAGGGCAGTGTTCGTGGTGTCGTGCTCTGGAGTGCTGCTAACGCGGCAGAGACAGCAGTGCAGCGGCAATTCAAGACTCTTCGCAGGGTTGCTCTTTCAGTTCAGCTCCTTTTAGGGTTTAGGGTTCCTCAACACATCTGGGGTTTCCCAACCAACATCTCCTTTTAGGGTTGAAGGTGTTATTTTCTGGTTTTGAGCGGAGATTTTTAGACTTCTGCCAAGAACACGCTTCCAAAGAATAGCTGGAGACTCTGCAAATCCAGTTTTACGTGGTGTGGCGCTCTGGAGTGCTGTTAACGCGGTAGAGACAGCAGTGCAGTGCAGCGGCAATTGAAGATTGAGTAGAGACAACAGTACAGTGTAGCACCGGGTAAATCAAGCGCTGCTCCCTAGGTTTTTCTGATTTCTGACACATCGGTCGCGACCTGAGATTGACACACTGAGAACAGTCCCAGTCATGGTTTGGAGTGCCGCTACGTGATGGAGAGCGATGTTAGTGGCGTCGTGCTCTAAAGTGCTGCTATAACGCGGTAGAGACAGCAGTGCAGTGCAGCCGCAGTTTCAAGACTGACTAGAGACAACAGTACAGTGTAGCATCAGGTAAATCAAGCGCAGTTCCCTAGGCTTTTCTGATTTCTGACGCATCGGTCGTGACCTGAGATTGACAGACTCAGAACAAGTCATGGTCTGGAGTGCTGCTACGTGATAGAGAGCGATGTTAGTGGCGTCGTGCTCTGAAGTGTTGCTTTAACGCGGTAGAGACAGCAGTGCAGTGCAGCGGCAGTTTGAAGACTGAATGTTGCTGTGTCGTGCTGTGGAGCGTGCGTGCAGTGCAGCTTTGTTTTCAGAATGAAACTGCAGGCAGTGCAGTTGCCGAGGCTTGCTTGACTTCCATCGGATTTGTGACTGAACAGGGCAAAAGTCCAGCCGCTCCTTGCTTTGTAGCTTGCAGAAGGCGTTGACGCAATTTACACTTCGGCATTGTCCTGCTCCCACCACGTACACTTCACAGCGTAGAAGCGCCGCACGATGCAAAGAGATGCCTGTTTTGCTCGCTACCCCCCTCCTTGGTTTCATTTTGCTCGGGATGCGCTGCTCATGTTGCTCGCTTTGTCTCCCCAGTTTTATTGCTCAAAGGACGCTCTTCTGGTCGCTCAAGCGTGGATCCACCAAGAAAAAGACATGCCATCGTCCACCTGGGCCGAAGGACTGGAGACTCACTGGAGACCACTAGTAGCTGGAAGGCCACAGTGAGCCCCGTGAGGCGTTCCTTTTTTTCTGCTCTGGGAGAATAATAATTCTATTCTCCCACAGCGGGAAAAAAGGAATGCCTTCCCCACTAGGGGGATTTCCATCTGGAAGGTTCCTTTGCGTTCCTTTCCGCTCTGTTTTCCACCAGAAACGTGGAAGTCGCAAGGGTTCTGACAGGTTTGGTGTTCCCTTTCCATTCCTTTCCACAGTTTTGGACATCCAGTGATCTGTTCTGCCGTTGGCGCGTGGCCCAAAGTTGCTTCAATGAAGCGCCGGCGTTTGCTATATAAGCAGCCTCTTCCTGCCGCGCCGTCGAGTGATGAGCTTGGGCAGGTGAGAACGCTTGTGAGAGACAAGTGGGTTGCCTCCTACCTTGCCGAGCATGGACGTGGGGGTCAGGATGCACGTGCTGCGGCCAAACGAGAGTTCACCTCAGCCGCCAACAAGCGTCAGATGCTGAGTTCCATGCTGGAGTCTGGGCAGGTACCACCCCGGCTTCATGCAGCAGCCACCCGTCTAATCATGGCTTGGACATCTGAGACGCCCCTCCGTGGCCCACATGAGGTGGAGGAGGATGTCATGAGTTCGTACCGTGGCAGTGGGACTATGTTTCGGTATTCAGGGTCGTGGAGCCGTGTGGACGATGCCGCAATGTCGGCGGTGCTGGTTGCGAAGGGTCACAATGGCATTTCTGAGGTATGCAGTCGCCTCAAGTGTCACCCCTATGTGCAAGGATTGTGGGACGAGTTCTCGGCCTTCAGGCAGCAGCTGGTGTCAAGCACACCTATCACGCGCTGGACTGCAGCCATGGAGCTACATGTGGAAGCTTCGCTTGCGGCCAACCCTCCCATTCCATCGGTACACATACATTTTATGTTTGATGCCATTGGCAAGACCATCTCATTTCGAAATGAGCCTGGATTGAAGTTTCGCAACTCGCAGCCGTACAGGTCGCTTGCAGCACCAGTCGCCCGCGGACGGGCTTGCAAACGAGCCTATGATCAGGGGCACTTTTACTTGACTCCGCTCAAGACAGGTGCCATACTCCATGCCACAAATGCACCACCGTTCAAGTCCTATGCAGTGTCTCCAGAATGGATCACAAGCATGTGGCAAGGGGATAAATTGTCTCCGGAATCGGCCAAGGAACTCTATCTCAAGTGCAAAAAGCACGTCAAACAGTATTGTGACAATGTCACATCACAGGTCCAGATGACCCAGCAGAGCAACTTGCAGGAACGCCAGGCTGCAGCACAGGCAGCCTTGCTCCGCATGCATCGTCCTCGGGTGTATCTGGAACCAGTGGAACAAGAGTTCTTGCCTCAATTCCAGGTGGATGCTTTCAGACGACGCTTCTTGGTGCTGGACGGACCCACGAAGCTCGGCAAGACGATCTTTGCCTCCAGCCTTGCAGGACCCGAACACACTCTGGAGTTGAATTGTGCATCGTCCATGGAACCCAATTTGCGGGACTTCAACAATGATGTTCATCGCGCGATCGTGTTTGATGAGGCATCTTGTGCCATGGTTCTCCGGCACAAGAAGCTTTTCCAGGGTGGTGTGCAACCACTGGAACTGGCCAGCTCCAACACGAATTGCTACTCTTACAAGGTTTGGGTCTATGGCACGATGATGATCGTCACAAGCAACACCTGGACTGCAGAGTTGCATGAGCTGTCACCTGAGGACGCATCATGGCTGCGTTCCAATTCGGTGCACGTCTACTGCACACAGAAATTGTATTGCTAATGACTGCTAATGCATGAGTGACTATGGCGAAGAAAGGGCCACGTCTGCTGCTGTCACTTTGGTGCAAGGCTTCCAAGACCACGTCAGATTTTCTCACTCTGGGGCCAGTGCCGAGGCAGAGAGTTTCAAGCTAGGACGTCTGCTGTTTTCAGTTTGGGGTGACAGTGCCTCCCAAGATGACGTTGGGTTTCCGAAGAAGGTGTTGAAAGTGCCAACGTCTGCTGTTGTCACTTCGGTGCAAGGCTTCCAAGACCACGTCAGATTTTCTCACTTTGGCGGGCAGTGCCTCCAAAAAAGGCTTCCAGCCCTCCAGCCTCCAGCCTTCCAGCCTCCAGCCTTCCAGCCTTCCAGCTCTGCAGGTCTCCAGCCCTCCAGCTTTTTAGGGCAGAGAAGCAGAGGGAGGGGCTGGAAAGGGTTGGGAGCTGGAGAAGGCTGGAAGGCTGGAGGGCTGAGGGGTGGAAGGCTGGAACTGGAGCGCTGGAAGGTGGAGGCTGGAGGGAAGGCTGGAGGGTTGGAGGAGGGCTGGAAGGCTGGACTCCAGCCCTCCCTCCAACCTTCCAGCCCTCCAGCCTTCCAGCCTGGCTGAGGGGTGGAAGGCTGGAGTGCGGGAGGGGAGGGAGGGAGGGAGGGAGGGAGTGAGGGAGGGAGGGAGGGAATGAGGGAGTGAGGGAGGGAGGGAGGGAGCGAATCAGGGAATGAGGGAGTCAGGGAATGAATGAGTGGTTGAGACGTTGATGCCGTCCGTATCTGCCGTATCGTGTTTCGCTAGTGGTTTCCATGATGTTCCATGCAAAAATGCAATATTTGTCAAGAAAGTGAGAGTTCGCGGGGCCACCAGCGACGGGCAGAGTTCGAAAAAACTGGTCTATGAAGTGTTTGACACGTTCAGTCCGTCCGTATTTGCCGTGTCGTTGTCCGCTAGTGCTTTCCATGCAAAAAAGGCAAGATTGTCAAGAAACTGAGAGTGGCGCAGCCACCGGGGACAGTGCAGAGTTCGAAAAAAATGGTGTATGAAGTGTTTGACACATTCAGACCGTCCGCATCTGCCGTGTTGTATTTCGCTAGTACTTTCCGTGCAAAAATGCAATATTGTCTAGAAATTGAGAGTTCGCGCAGCAACCAGCCGCAGTGGAGAGTTCGAAAAAAATGGTGTGTGAAGTGTTTGACACGTTGAGGCCGTCCGTATCTGCCGTGTTGTATTTCGCTAGTGCTTTCCATGCAAAAAAGGCAACATTGTCTAGAAATTGAGAGTTAGCGCAGCCACCAGCCGCAGTGCAGAGTTCGAAAAAAATGGTGTATCAAGTGTTTGACACGTGCAGGTTGTGAGTATCTTCTGGGGGAGCGCGGGAGGGAGGGAGGGAAGGAGGGAAGGAGGAGGAAAGGAGGGAACAGGGAGGGAGGGAAGGGAGGGAGGGAGGGAGCGAGGGAGGGAGGGAGGGAGGGGCGGGAAAGAGAGAGAGAGAGAGAGAATTACTGAAAGTGACAGTGAGAGCGAGAGTGAGAGTCAGAGTGCGAGTGCGAGTGCGGGTGAGGGTGAGGGTGAGAGTGAGTGTGCGCGTGAGTGTGAGCGAGAGGGGGAGAGAGTGCCCAGGTGATGGCGGGGTCGTCAAAGTCAGAGGCAGCCGCTTTTGAAGTGTAGTGCTCGTGACCGCTGCGGAGTCGTCAAAGTCAGAGGCAGCCGCTTTTGAAGTGTAGTGCTCGTGACCGCTGATCCTGTTTGTTTCCTGTTGGTCGAACCCACCCCTCCGGGGGGCGGGGCAGTGTGTCTTGCTGGCGCAGGGCTTGGGACCGCTTTATGGGGCTTGATTCCCACAGCAAGTGCTAGGAGGCCAAGTCGTGCCTGTAGAGTACAGAAGTCCTGAGAAGTGTTAGGACAGTTGCATGTCATTCCTCCTTTGTTTAGCAAAGTTGAGACGGAATTTGCTGCGCGAGACTCCGCAAGAGACCTTGCTGAACACTTCGGTGTTTGGCTCAAGCGTGGAGTGAAAAGAGACTTGCTCTGCGTTTTTCACATGGTAGCGGAGCGCTGAGTGCGTTCCTAGTAAAGCCATGGCAGACGTTCCTGTGCCGGAGACCACTGCAGAAGAAGAGTTCGAGCTTTTTGGTCCAGGACCAGCTGCGGCAGCGCATGAAGCGGCTGCTCAGCAGGGAGCGAATCCGTTTGCTCCTGTCCATGGTCCGGCTCCTGCTCCTACGCAAGCACACCCTTCAGAACCAGCGGCGGGTTCGCCGACTGGTACTACTGTGCCTCCTGTGCAAAGTCCAAAGGCGTCGGCTCCACCTGTTCAGAGTCCGAAGGCTGCTGCTCCGAGTAGCAGCTCTGGTTCTGCAGGTTTTACGCCTGAGCAGATGCCTGGATTCATGATGGAATTGCTTCGTCAGCAGAGAGAGATGATGGCAATGAACCAGCAGCTCGTTGCGACGATGCTCCGGAGAATGGATCTGGAGGAAGAGAGAAGGAACAAAGCGGAAGAGAAAGTTCTTGAGGCAGCTGAAGCGGCCAAGCAGGCAGCAGATGCTCCCGCGAGCAGTTCTGCCGCTAGTTCGGCAGCTCCGGCAAGTTCCGTCTCCCTCCGGGTACTCTGGTGCTGGAGGCCGTGCAGAGAAGTATCTGCCGAACCTTCCGGTGATAGACCATCAAGGCATGGGGAAAGGGCGCATGAAGGAGGTAGAGACTTGGCACTCCTTTATGGAGACGCTGAGTTCCTGGCTTGCCCTGCAGGAAGAAGCGTTTGTTCGGGAACTGCAGCTTTGTATCCCTGTGAAGAAGGAGATTGTGCAAGCTGACTTGAATCCCGAGACTGCCGCACGTAGCTGTCTTCGTGAGAGAACAGGCTTTGAAGTTGTACCAGCACGTTGGGCATTTGAAGAGGCCCACCGACTTGATTCGACATCTTGAGGATTCGTTTTCGAAGTCTGAAGCGAAGCTGAGCAACTTTCCGGAGCTTCTGCTGTCTGAGGCTGATCGCTGCTCTGTCCTGTTACAGAGCTTGGGTGCAGAAGTACGTCAGTACGTGGTACTGCACGGGTCCAGCTCGAACTGGGAAGCTCTTCGAAGGACGCTGACTTACTACGAGGAGCAGCTGCGACTGTGTGAGGTCCCTGGGTCTTCGGGCCGAGCCTTGCAGGAGAAGCTTTGCGACTACTGCGGGAAGAAGGGACACACAGCCGACAAGTGTTGGCAGCGCCAAAAGGAAGAACGTGAACGCGGTGGTGCTCCGAAGGGCAAAGAGAAAGGAGACAAAGGAAAGCCGAAAGGCAAAGGCGACCAGACTCCCAAGGGATCTGGCACACCCCGTGGTTCCGAGAAGGGCAAGGGCGACAAAGGAAAAGGCGACAAAGGAAAGGACAAAGGCAAGAAGCAGAAGAAGAAGAAGGGACAGCCTGGAAAGGGACGCTCCTTGACAGAGCCGGAGTCCGAGGCCGAGTCGGGAGGAAGCGCCACAGTGATGGCGATGAGGTTTTCCTGTCCTGGGCGTGGTTCTTCGGAGCCCTCTTCTTCGGAACGCCGTGTTCTGAGACAGCCTGAGAAGCCTGAGTTGTCCGCCCTTGTAGTTCCGAAGCCGGGTTCAGGACCCGAAGGGTCGCCTGGGTCTGAGAGTCGAGGTTCTGAGTCTATGGGCTCCTTAGGATCCCGTATGTTGAAGTACGGCGACGTAGCTCATGTCTGCAAGGCCCTCGAGACTACTCCTGGGGACCTGTGGCTAGTTGATAGTGGAGCCACCTGCCACATTGTTTCTGACAAACATCTCTCAGGATTTCGTGTTGTCAAGAAGTACGACCGAACGGCCAATCTGTTCAATGCCTCGGGTGGTGCGATCGTCGTATCGGGGGTTGTCGACCTTGAGGTTCACTTTGGTGACGTTTTCCTGAGGTTGGAAGAGGTCTTGGTGGCGGATGTTGGGTTCAACGTTGTTTCGCCTTGGACCGGGTCGGAACGGGGCTGGAAAACCTATCTAGCCAAATCGGGATCACGATTGTACAAAGGAAACGGAAAGAAGAGCATCAAGCTGATGGGCGCTTCGCGTGCCTGGTGGGCTCTGAGCGGGAGGTCCAAGGGCCGGGGGAAAGAGAATTCTTCCAGACGCCCCCCGAAAGGGATCGACGACATGGAGATAGATCAGATAGATGCCTTGAAGGACCGCGACCTGCTAGGATCGAGCAAGGAGTCCACCGCAGGACCCCAGAAGCCTGGAGAAGGAATCCTGAAGAAAGGAAGAAAGACCTCGGAAGAAGACGAGTCTGGTCGCCACGCTTTGGCTGCCACTCCTTTTGGGTTTCTGCTTCGGGGTCTTAGGGCGGAAGTTGCTCCAAGAGCGCCTGCACCACGGGAGATTGAGCTTTGTGATCTTCTAGAAGAGTCTAGTGACGTTAGGCAGGGCGCGGCGATTGATTTTAGGAAACAGGTGCATGCTGGCATGTCGCTTGATTTTAGGAAACGGTCGCATGTTGGCATGGCTCTTGATTTTAGGAAACGGTCGCATGTTGGCATGGCTCTTGATTTTAGGAAACAGTCGCATGTTGGCATGGTGCTTTGCATGTTTTTGGCATGTTTTTCCATGGTTTTGCGATGGCATGTTTTCATGAGAGACATGGTTGTGCAAGCGCAGTGGGTTTTTGCTGCTGTGCTCGAGCCTGCTTTTACCCTTACGGCTTTTGCAGAAAGACTCAGAATACGCCTCTTTTTCCTGCTATGGGAAACTATCTGGGCGGATCAAAGCCAGAATGCGAGTGCCGGTGCGAAGTGTGCGGAAAGCAGGGGTGCGTCAGACGCAAACCTGCGCACACCCATCATTATTGCTGGGCCTGTATACAGCACTGGTCGGGGCTGCAATGGCTACGTGCCCACGACGAGGTTCCAGATTCGCAGTATTCTGAGAGCGATGCTGATGGTAGCATTGCAGCTGGTTGGGTCTTGCTCGATGGCAAGTGAAGAAGACAGACCCTTCAGCCACAAGAGGGTAGGAAAAGGATTGCGAAAGCAGCTGCCTGAGCTTGAGAAGCAACTGCGTGAGCCTAGGAAGCAACTGCGTGAGCCTAGGAAGCGACTGTGTGAGTCTAGGAAACAGCTGCGTGAACCTAGGAAACCGTGGCATGTTGGCATGCTTGGCTTGATTTTGCAAACGCTGATGTTGCCGAATGTTTGCGCTAGCACTGCGCACGATTCATCTGCAGCCGTTTTTCTCTGTGGTGAAGAGAGGTCTCCCTTTGGAGATCATAATGGACGGTGCCAGCGGGGACGAGTTTACCCCGAGTGTTGCTTTGAGCAGCCCAGGCTCTCCTGGGAATCCGCCTACTCCACCGGCTTTGGAGAGCCCCTCTTTCGAACTACCGGGGGTAGAGCCGCCGGGTGGGGGACCATCGTCGCCGGTGGCGGTCTACCCGTCGCCAGTGGTGACGGAAGCAGCGGAGGAGAGCGATGGGGAGGAGAGTTGGGGCACCCAGTGGCCGAATCCTTCGAAGCGCCTGCGCGCTGGGGGTCCTTCAGAGGTCGAGGGGCCTGTGCCACCGCGGGCTGGAATCCCGGCGAATATCTCGCCGGGCTCGCTGAGCCCTCCTTTTGGTGCGGTTCAGATGGATGTGGGAACCCAACTCCTCCTGAGGGCGTTGAGGCTGGAGGCTGGCCGCAGATGGGAGCATGCGGAAACGCTGGGCCTTGCAAAGGTCTCGTCCGTTGCTCTCGCACTTGGCGGGGATTCCAGCGAACATGGAAGATGCCTACGATGCCCCATCCCTGGCGTTCTGTGCGCCAGGACACGCCTTGAGAGCACTTTGCTCTCCGGCGGCGACGATGCTTGGTCCGATAGGCCTGCCCGACCTAGAGCATCCAGCTGCTTGGCTACCAGCCACTCCGGTGATTCCTGTGACAGCGGCCTATCCGGAGGAGCCAGTGAGGGCTTCGAGGCCGAAGATGGTGGAATCGGAATCCCAATGTATCATTGGGCAGCAGGAATGGGAGGTTTGGTTGGGACGTTGCCTAGAGGGCAAGAGCCTGGCAGAGTACGGGCTTCATATGGTAGATTTGGAGTTCGCTGTCAGGGTTACCGAACTTCTGGAGGCTCCACGGGCCGCTCGGGCAGCGTGGAAGCGAAGGTTTCAGGAACCCAACCCTGTGTCTATGCTCCACTATATCTTCCATTGTCGAGCCGTTTTGCAAACCTATTTGGCTACGCCTGCTGGATACAAGGGACTGGTGGGAGGACGTTCGAGTCTGCTCGTAAAGGTGCCCCAGTCGGTCACCTCGCTCGAGCTCAAAACGGCTTGGGCGTTCCTAGATTCGGGCATATATCTCCGTGTTGCCCGATATTACAGGCGAAAACGAGAGGAGGAGCGCCTCCACGAGGCCCGGGAATCCATGCGAGCGGCAAGGGCCAAATCGGCAGCGATCCCTCAGGGTGGTGTAGTGGACACCACCTCTTCGAGCTCCGACGAGGAGTCCTTGCTCCTTGGAGAAGGGGAACTTACTGCGCTGAACAGGGCCCAGGGCCAAGAAGATTTATCCGACCTCGCCATATGGCGCACATTGGAAGAACTTACAGGCCAGAGGTTGTCCCAATTGGATGGCTATGTTGGGGCGGCCGACGAGGGAAATCAGCCCGCCGAGGCGGGACAGCCGGCGCCGCCGAGCCCGGCTTCCTCAATGCCACCTGGAGAACGGGTGGCTACGGCATTCAACCTCCCGAGGGTCTCGGCACCTACCCTTCCGGAGGGAATGCAGAGGGAGGACTATCGAAGGCACGGCGTGAACATCCCGCCGTCGGTTCCAAAAAGATCTCGGCTACCAACGCCTCCGAGGGCTATGAGTGCGGCTGCGAGTGGTTCTGCCACCGGACAGACTGCCCAGGAACGGGCATTTGTGCTCAGCCCGCCATCTTTAAGCCACAGTCAATTGACTGCGCAGGTGAGGCAAGCCCTCGAAGAGGGCCAGAGATTGTTGGAGTGAATCTGCGGCGATCCGCAACGAGGGGTGTTTTGCAAAAGCACGCTTTGCAGCAGCACGTTTTGCAGCAACACACTTTGCAGCAGCACGTTTTGCAGCAGCATGTTGTGTGGCATGAGCGTTGGCATGGTCTGTGGCATGTTGAGTTTGCTCGAAGACCAACCCAACGTACCTCGAACCCTCCTACCTTCGAAACCCGCACCTTTAAAACCACGGCCGCTTTCAGGAATGGTTTCACGCCAGGACTGGATATTGGTATCATCGTGCTCCTCCTGACGGTCTACAGCCTCTTCTGGGGTATAGCTTTGTGGGTTTCTTCAGGGTTACTTCGGTGTTTCAGGAAAGTGGTTTCTCGGAAGAGGCCACGGAAGTGCTACAGGGTGTTTTCTAGAAAACGCGGAAGCTACTTTAGGATTAAGCTGCGGGACCGTTGGGCCCGCGTCGAGGTGAGTAGGAAACTTCTTTTGAGTCGTGAGGTGAAAGGTTTTGGGGAGCGCGTTTGTGAGCATGTCTTTGAAAACTTGAAGTGCGCATGTTGCGTCATGTTTGGCATGCTTTGTGCCGGAGATGATGAACCGGCCCCGGCAAAGGAGACGGAACAAGTTGAGCACGTGCTCCGAGCCGTGCGCTTTAGAGGTTTACCGTCGCCAGGGACCGGTACACGTTCTGATCCGTTTGACTTAGACCCCGAACCTTCCTCGAGACCTGCTCCCGAAACTTCCTCAAAACCTGAAGCTTCTAGTCGTAATCCTTTAGATCCTGAAGGAATCTTCGATGAGGACCCTGAACCGTTAGGGTCTGCCCCTGGCTCTTCCAAGAAACCTCGAAAAGAAAAGGGTCCAACACCACCTGACGACCCGGTTGGACCTGAGGACGAGGAGGACCTGAGGGGTCCTCTTTCTTCTGTTTCGTTGTATAATCATCGGAGCCGAGGGCATTTTCCGTTTGATTCCAATTGTGAAGCGTGTTGTTCTTCGAAAGGGCGCGTTCCGGCGCGTCGCTTGAGGAGGAAGCTGCAGAGAGAGAACCAGACCATAGGTCTTGATTTCTTCTATTTCGGAAAACTGAGGGTACTCTTGATGATGCACCTCGGTTCTAAGTACACTGTCTCTCTTCCTGCGATGCACCTCGATGACCCTGACCTGCTCCACAACATCAACCGTGTGATTCGCGAAATGGGATTAGTCGGTAAAGCGGTTACATTTCGGATGGACCAAGAAGCGGCTCTTGGAGCCCTTGCCGAGAAACTCACTAAGTGCGATAGCAGCCCTGCCAGCGCAACTTTGATTGACGTGGTTCCGGGCTACAGGCCCCAGTCGAAGGGATCGATTGAGCGGCAGGTTGAAACTATGAAACAGGGTTTCTGGTCTGTTTGGTTGGACCTGGAGAAAGAGGTTGCTAAGGTGAAGCAGGAAACGGAAGCCGTTGAGCTTGGGAAGTATCGGTTACCTTTGGGAGGTTTGCTTTGGCAAGCCTGTGTTTTCTACGTTGCTAGGTGCTATAACCTCTGGTGTACCAGCGTCGGGGATTCGAGCACTAGCATAGATCGACTGCATGAGGAGATTGTGAACCGAACTCGGACGAGACCGTTCGGGTGTCTGGTTCAAGCTCAGGTCAGTAAGTCCAAGGCGCACCATGATAAGTTCAGGGGCGCCCGGACCGTGAAAGCGGTTTATCTGGGACCGGTGCACGCCAAAGGTGGCGGCATCTTTGCCGTCCCTGTCGGAAGCAGTGAAATAGATATATTCTCCGTCGCCAGAATGATTCAGGGAGGTGACATCTACGATGCCAAGACCCTGGAAGAGCTATCTTTAGCTAAGCCTCTTTTGCAGGACACTGAGGACCCCGAGAGGCCCATACTGTTTGATCCGTTGGAGGCTCCTGGTGATGATGCTCCTGATGAGGGGGCGGGTGTGGGAATGGATGAAGATGGTGATGAAGAGATGATCGAAGATGAGCTTGGTGACTGTTCTCCTTCGGAAGCGCCTGAGAACCAGGAGGTTGTGAACGATGAGGGGGATATGGAAATAGACTGGCTCACGAATCACTATCTTGAGTCCCTGTTTCGAGGGCCTGACCTTCGAGCCGCCTCCACTGCAGTCGCAAAGTCGTTTGATTTGAAGTTTGGGGGTACGAAGATAAGGTGTGCTGTTCCCCAGGACGCTGTTTCTGAGACTTCGGGAGAGAAGCTAGAACCCGACCTCCTTTACGCATCAATGAAGCTTGAGTTGGAAGAGTTGGA